ACTTCTATTATGACACATAAAATACCTACGACAGACGACCGCCCTGTATATGTCAAACAATACCGCTACCCCTTATCATTACACCAAGAAATTAAAACTCAAGTAGAATAGTTATTCGCAGACGGTACAATCATTAAATCAAACAGCCCTTATAGTAGTCCTCTCTGGATTGTCCTTCAGAAACAAGGAACTGATGGAACAAAAAAATACAGATTAGTAATAGATTACCGTAAACTATACGAAAAAACCATCCTCAATGCTGATCCAGTACAAAACAATACTGAAACATGAGAGGAAATTGGAGACTCAGATTATTCCTTCATTTCTAATCTAGCCAGTGGATTTCATCAAATAGAAGTTAACCCTTCAGATAAACACAAAACTGCTTTTAGCACACCTAACGATCATTATGAACATGTAGGAATGCCATTGAGAGGATGCATTGTACTTGCAACATTTTAACGACTAATAGACGTAATTTTATGAGAACCGCAAGGCATTGAGTTATTTATATTTCTTGATGACATAATTATACGTTCAAAAACTTTGAAAGATCATGTGACAAAATTTATTCATTTAGTTAAAAAAGTTTTGAAATTAAAGTTAAAATTACAACTTATTAAATGTGAATTGTCGATGCCCGAAGTAATTTATTTAGGGCATAAAATAGTAAACTACGGAGTCAACCAGATTTTAAAAAATTAGAAGCTGTTGAAAAATTTCCCAAACCAAATCAAACAAATATTGAACAATTTTGACGATCAGTGAACTGTAACCGTCATTTTGTTAAAAATTTTACAGAAATTCCAGAGCCCATGACGTCTTTGTTAAGGAAACGAAAGATTTTTGAGTGGCCAGATTATCAGAAAAAAAGCTTTGAAGAGTTAATAGGAGCGTTATGTTAAGGACCTGTGTTAGCTTTTGTCCATTTAAATGAGCCATTAATATTAACAACAGACGCATCTCATATAGCTATTGGGCTGTATTAGGCCAAGGAGAACCAGAAAAAGTCCGCCAAATTGGGTATATGTCAATAACTCTTAATAAGGCTGAAAGAAGTTATTCTATTATGAAAAAAAAATGCTTAGCAGTAGTTGTAGCAGTCCAATATTCTTGACTTACTTATATGGCGGGAAGTTCACGGTTTACGGTGATCATGAACTACTATCCTGAGTTAAGTCTCTCAAAGATCTTATGAGTAAACTAAATAGATGGAGAACAAAACTTCGAGGTCATAGCTATACTTTTTTTTTTTTATATTATAGTGCTCTACGTCCGGCTCCTTTTTAATAAGGGCACTACTATGGGCACTTAGCACTTGGGAAAGGGACAAGGAAAGGGATGGGAGGCCCCCCATTACAGGGAGGGGGGTAGGGGGAAATTAGGCAATTTTTGCTGCGAGAAGGTCGCCTAAACCCTCCTCGAGGAGCATTGCGTGGTGAAAAAGCACATGTGAACAATCACAGAGGTACTTGCCCGTAAAAGTCGCACTGGCCGGGAATCGAACCACGGTCTCTCCTCCCGCGTCCCAATCCACGACCTAGCCGACCGAGCCACCGCGCGCTCCACGCGTATATATAATATAAATATTATGCGATGTATATATATAATTATATATATATGTATGAGGCTTTGATGTGTTTTTTGCTCGGAAAATAACGCGAGAGACGCTTGATATATCAAGCCACCGAAGAGATGAGCGATGGTGGCCGTGTGCAGCTGCGTGTGGCTTATGGGGGATGAGAGAGCGTAGACGGGCTGCGGGTGCGTAGATAAGCCAGTATATTACAGGGGCGCGCAGGTAGTGGGACTTCCGAGGAATTAAGGGGGAGAGAAATGGTGTGGTGTAATTGGCGCGCGTGGGAGGAAAAAAAAGAAGATTTTAGCAGCAGGATATCCGATGATTTTTGCGGCTTGGGTGTTCTTGCCTTTTTTTTTTTTTTTTTTTTTTTTCAATCATCGCTCGGAGGGATTTTGTGGTCAGTTGGGAACGAATGAAAGTTCCGCGGGTGTGTTTTAACGTAGAAAAGGTGCACCGTGCATTTTTCTGGCTAAGGGGGGGAAAAAAAAGAGAAACGTCCCTCTCGCGATGAAACTGAGTAAGGGCTTGAGAGGAAGTACATTTGTACATCTTCCCTCTCGCGGACGAGGTGATCGGACTTTTTAGACTATAATACACACTTGGTACCTACAAAGATTGCCTCCGCAAGTTGAGTGGTGTATACGTATGGTTACTTGTCCACCGATCGATGGACATCGAAAAATATTCCCGATACATCCTGAGAGCATCTAAAATCAAATGAAAAGTAGTCTTTGTTAGTAGTCGCATTATTTTTTTGTCTTATTTGCCAAACGTTTACGAACGCTCGTGCATAATAGCTGATTTCCGAAATTTCACGTCACACGTAGCTAGATAATATATAGTACAGTGGCAGAGAGAGCGTAGTACGATCACGAAGTCGCGGAGAGTACGAGACAAAGAGCCAGACGTGCCGAGTGTGCAGTTGCTCTCTCTCTCTCTCTCTCTCTTCCTCATGTTTACGGCAATATAGAATTTCCTATCACGTTTTAAAGTGCTCGGCCGTGGAGCTGAATATGCATGCCTCTGTGTACACGTTGTATGACTGTATATATATATATTATACAGTGAGTCTTCAATTACGAACAACCGTAGCGCGTATGAATGTTTTACTTCCCCTTTGTGGCGAAAAATCGTCCACTGGTACCCCTACAATCGCGTGTTAAACGAGAAAAAAAAAAAAAAAAAGAAACAGTAGGTAATACTTCCCTAATACATCATTCTTATGTTGTATGGCCTCCACGTCTTATACACACACATCCACGTGAAACCCTCGGCCCAACTAAATTTTCGACCCATATACGTGTTATTAACTTTTGATCCTCCTCCTCGTATTGATGAATCTCTTCCACTGTAGTTACACCAAGGCATCATCGAGCCGCGCGTGTGCGTCCACGGGAATTTGCCAATACAATATATGTATACTTATACCTCCGAACCACTCCGTAAAATATACACACACACACACACACACCAGATATAATTGACCCGTATGGTTCGCCCCTTCCAAAGTGCACTCTCTTTCGCTTCCTCTCCTGCGCTCTCATGTAGTGTCTATATTATCTCTTTTGGAACCCCATCCATCTACCCCTTTTCCTTACAAATCGATACAACCTGAGGGACTACGTATACATACAGAGGAGGCAACCCTCCCTCCCATATGTACGTGTTTTGCCTCCTCCTCTGATGGTGCGCAGCATCCAGCCCTCCCTCGGTATATATATACTTGCACCACCTGTATAGCTATGCCCCGTGTATACACGTACACGGTACGCGTTAAAGGGGCGCGATCCCTCCCTGTGTAAAATCTCTCTGCGTGTTTTTCTGTTCTCCCCCCCCCCCCTTGCCCCTGTGTCCGCAAATGGCTTTCAAATTACTGCCTATGTCCTGGAAAGCTCGACACCAGCCCGTTCCTAATAATCTATGTGTGACTCGTGCACTTGTAAAAACTGCAGGCTCTTTCTCTATAGAGAATTTCACGAGCATTTACTTCTTGGCAATAACCAACCTCGGCATATTTACAACCCCGTGTCTCTTGTTGGCGTATCGGTCATTGCAATCATCGCGAGGCAGGACGAATCTTCCAAGTGGTGGGGCGTTGTCCAAAGAGTGCACGCGGGGTAAGCAAAAGAAAAGGACACCGCTCGATTGATCCCCGTGGAAATTCATCCCGTCCTCAAAAGAACTCGAGGGCCCCCCCTTCTCGTCCTCTCTCGCGTGTATTTTCTTCCGCGCCGAGGCTCGGGGCGACGCTGGCCGATAATCTAACGACAGCCGAGTCGTTGCCAAGACGACGATTTCACCGAGCCATCGGGTATATAATATATATGTATATAACTTGCACCGTATACACATATTGTCATCGATGTGTGTCCCCCTCTGCCCCCTACAACTATACCTATTATGGAGCATCTATCAAAAGCTATAAACTTGCATCTATGTATATACTTACCATACACGCGCAGGCGGGTTAAAACGACTAATCGATGACAGATTTTGTCGGAGCAACGACAATCATCCCCTCTCTCCCTATAAGAATATAAATATTCGATCACGCGAGAAGAACGTCCCTCTTTACCCCCCACGGAGGTGCTTCGGGGGTTGGAATAATATTTGAAGCCGTTTCAATGGATAGGTCGTCACCAGGAAGTGTATACTTATCATCAAAAGCAAAATCGTATACCTGTATGAACAATTAATGCAACATATTTCACAAGCAGTCTGCAGACACTCTAATCAATATAATATTATACTGTATATGTACAATTGTTGCGATCGTGTGGATACACAAAGTTCTCCCTTGTACAATCCGAACCGTAAATTATCAAGTGCGAACGATAATACATATATAAGTACCGTGCACACGCGTAAAACACACTGTACAACGTTGTATGTATGAGGAAATCAAATCAAGGACAAAAAATATACCGTTTTTGTGCCTCAAATTTTTTTTTTTTTTTTTTTTTTTTTTTTGAGACACACCTTCGAGACAGGGACTCATTTTACCCGTATAGTGTCGTGTACTATGACGAAAAATATACATATAGATGCTATGTACAAATATACTAACATGTACATTGTAAAAAACGGTACATGGCAATACTTTTTTTTTTTTTATATTAATAGTACTCTACGTCCGGCTCCTTTGATAAGGGCACTACTATGGGCACTTTGGAGAAGGAAGGGAAAGAGGGATGGGAGGGGGAAATGAGGCAGTTATGCTGCGAGGAGGTCGCCTAAACCCTCCTCGAGGAGCATTTGGTGAAAATATACAACGTTATATGTGTGTTCCGTGCAAACAGCCGAGACAGTGGTCAACGCACCATAATAATATTAAAAAAAAAAAAAAAAACCAATTTATTATACACCTTGGTTTACCAATATCTAACGGTGCGACTCTTTGTTTTTCCCGTTTTTGCAGGGGTCTCCCGTGCGGGGTCGAGCCACCCGAACCCGTCAAGGGCCCCGACGGCGACAAACTCTCAAACATCGCGGCTCGCTTCAGCTACTTCCAGGAGAAGAGGCACAGCGCCCTGCCCAAGGTCGACCCGCGGCGAAGCACCCAGTCGTCCCCGAGGAGCAAAAACACCAGGCCCACCGTCAGATTGCGGCCCCGACAGGCGAGTGTTTCACCTTACATTGGACCGTATAGACATGTGTACAATCGTGGACATGATGATAATTTTTTTTTTCCTTTTCCCGACGTACACAGGTGCTCTGCAGCAAGTGCCGGTCCATTTGCAATGAGAACAGCGAAAACGTGGGCCGCAAGCGTAAATCCGAGGAGACGGTCGAGCAGCCGATACGCCGGAGCGACCGGCGCTGCGCAGCAACTACTCAGCAGCCGCGACAGCCGCAACAACAGCCAAACACGAGGAGCCAGAGGTCGTTGCAGATCAACGTGGCCGATCAGTCGGACGAGAGCTCGTCCTCCAAAACGACCACCAGCACCTCGTCCTCGACCACGGAACAGTTGCCCCAACAACAGCAACAACGGGCCAGCAAATTTAGTCCCAGTCTCATACCAAAGTTGTCGAGGCTCAGGCCAGCCGATATTACCAGCGCCTCGGCTCACAGCGCCGGTGAGGGCATACAAGAATATACATGTATTACTTACACGCTGACTACCCCACTTTATTTTTTCAATGGGATTTGGGTATCGAAATACTCACCGCAAAATCATTTTGGGGCCATTTTGTGGTATTGTGTGCAACGCTCACAACTGCATCGTACGAATAAGTAAAAATTTATTCGATACGTGGTAAAGGTTGTCATTCGGAATGATGAAAATTAGTTGTTCAAAATACCTAAGACACGAACTAGTTACCACTAGTTTAAGAGTGCTATACGTTTATCGAAAGTTGCATCAAACTGAATCCGCGATTTGACCTCGTTGCAAATGTATAAAAACCAAAGTCGAAAAATTCGTTTTGCCCGGGCAGGTTTGATAAAGCCGTGTATCAAGCTGGCGGAGAAGATGCGCAGCGCCTACTGGCACGGGCGCGACGAGGAGGACCTGAGCCAGTCGCTGCACGAGGAGGATGAAGAGGAGGAGGAGGAACTTGAGAACCGGCCGATGAACGGGCACCCGCGAGCCGAGCCCATCGAACTGGACAGCAACCCGACGCAGGCGTACTGCGCGACCCCCAGGCGCCTGAGCAGTTCCTCGGTCGAGAGCGCCAAAGTTCCGCCCGAGGAGGAGGACAAAAAGACCCTGGCCGCGGCGGACTCGACAGTCAGGGGTGCCGGCCGGGCGCTCAGGGCGCAGCGGAAAAAACGCTCGATCGGCCTGATGGAGGACCTCTGGGACGAATCCGTGTTCGAGGACCCCGCTAGGATGTCCCCGCCCGTAAACACGATCGTCCTCCCCACCAGGGCGACCCCCGTCATCAAGATATCGTTTGGCGCCCAGGGCGAAGGCACCGTCCTCAAGATACCCTCCAAAATACAGAGCCCCTACATAGGTACGCGTCCGATTTATCATTATCATTGTTATCGTCAACGGGTTGTTGACCGAGGTAATTGCGGGATTGACAGAGAGGGACGTGGACACGGACACCGAGGAGGTGCAGAACGAGGCTACGGATCCGCTGCTGTTGCCGCACGACTACGACGGCTACTGCAGGCTCGGCAGGTACGAGGACGACGGCCAGGAGCAGGTGGATCCGCAGAAACTCGGCACTCCCTCGAAAGATTGCGACACCGCCAGTGCCAAGGCCGCCAAAAAAGCCCTGAAAAAGGCCAAAAAGAAGGCACTCAAGAGACTGCATGAGGCCCTTTCGCCGGCAATGTCACCCTGCAACAGCTCGCCAAGGTAAGCGGGCCTCCCATATTTATATTTATTCCCTTGGATTGTTCGTGTCCTCTTGTGTTCTTAACTCCAATAACCCGTGATTGCATGTATGTAGGTATGGCTCGAGCTTCGACATAATGTACCATCGGCGCAAGCACAAAGTCAAGCACAAGAAGCGCCACAGGGAGGAGCGTAAGAACAGAGTCCCGCAGAATTCGCAAGAAAAAGAGGAGCCGGCAAGCGGTGTCCAGCAGCTGGACTGTCTGGGCCTCGAGGTGATGAACGACGACGACGACGACGCGGTCAAAATGCTCGATTCGAGCGATGACCGGCATGGGCAGGTCACGGACACGACGCCGGTCGCGCCGACGACGACGGTAGCCCACAACAATAACACCGCCATAAAGGAGCAGTGCCTGAAACAAAAGCTCTCCATTTCCCTCAAGAGACTGAACACTAACGCCTACGCGCCTCGTTACGAGCATCACCACAGGTCCGCAGGTTACTTCATGAGCGAGCCTATTCCCTCTTGTACACCTTTCATCCATCAGTCATCACTTTTTGACCATCCACCGAACATTCATATCGCAACGATGCTTTTCCATATGCCGCGTAGCGCTCTCATAACATGCCTCCACCTCGCAACATAGCTTCATTCGTATGAACCAACGAGTTAAAAATGCATCATGTTTTCGTCAACAGCTACCCAGTGAGTAGTAACTGCAAGAGCTCAGCGGCGACGAGCGAGGAGGAGGAGGAGGAGGACGAAGAGTCGTCCTGTGTGGGCAGCAGCGAGCACGAGGTCAACAGTGCCGAGACAGCTCCGGACTTTCCACCCGTGGAACATCCTCTAGTCATGAGACTGACTGCGGCAGCTACGCCCGACGTACACTGCGTGTCCACCGGCAAACGAATGGACGTGGGCGACGTCGTCTGGGGCAAAGTGCACGGGTTTCCCTGGTGGCCCGGAAAGGTGGGCTTTTTTTTTTTTTTTTCAAATGACAAATCACGAGTAATGAGTTTTGTTACGATGAAAAAAGTATATTGGTGAATTCAAAACGCTTTGATGATTAACGCTTGTATGTATTCCAGGTGCTAAGTATAACAGACTCGGGAGAGGGTGAGGACCCGGTGGTCGGACCTCAGGCGCACGTCGCGTGGTACGGTTCCTCGACGAGTTCCCTCATGTCCTGCGACCAACTCAGTCCATTTCTCGAAACATTCAAGGTATAATAACTAAAGCAGCATTCTGTACATTGAAACTACATGTTACGTTTAACGTGAAAAAAAAAAAAAAAATGCAACTAAACGGTCTACGTGGAATTTTCGTCTTACAGTCACGCTACAACAAAAAAAAGAAGGGGCCGTACAAGGAAGCGATACGTCAAGCGACTAACGAGGCGGAGGCACGCAACAGCAGCCAAATCACCCCGAATTCCACGAGCAATGTCCTCGACGTATGTGGCTCGCCTTGCGAAGTCAATGTACATTGAAGAAAGATAACGCAGACAGTAATAATCGCATCTGATGTAAAAATAAAAGTGAGAATTATTGCGTACACGTACAGACGAGAGAGAATAAAGGTGTGTGTGCGTGACGACTGTGCTGCGCGTAAATATTATGTAGGTGTAACTTTATACGAAAATGATGATTATGATATATTATTGTAATGACAAAGGGTAGTTGGCGAGCTTGAATAGAATTTTTCGAATTAACGAGGATGTTGCGTGTACAGATGTATACACGCCGTACTACGACTCGCTCGATGTGATTTTTTTTTTTCTCCTTTTTTTGTTGTATAATACATGTATACATGTATATATTTCGATTGAAGCTTCTTGTTTCTATGTAAAATACGATTTTTTATTATTGCTGTTTTTTTCTTGATTAAAAATAAGCTTGAGAATTTTTTACGATCGCTATTTGTACGCATCACGGAAAAAAGATTTTGGGGTTTTAAAAAAGATAACGAAAATACTGATGAAAACGATGGATGACCAAGAGAGATATAGTATTTGGCTTAATTTGCTTGGCACTTTGTGTACAAAAAATATAATAGCTCGCAGAGAGTTTTTTTCCATTTGATTTCGATGATTATTAAATTCGGTAAAAAAAACTGTGTGCAAGTATTGCATGTATCCTTTATACGCACAAATGTACACTATAAGAGTCTGCCTTTGAAAAACCAGCTAAGGAGACCATATAATTGCAAGAGGTCAAAAGCAAAAAAGTTCCATCGTTTTTATCAAATTTACTGCTACTTATGCAGTTTTTTCTTTCTTACGAGCGAACGAGACATACCAAGTTTCAAGTTAGATATTTTTTGCAACGGGGGAAAAACGCTTGGACAATAAAAAGTCCATAATCGTGGGTCAAACGTAAAAAAAAAGTGTTTAAAAGTGGCGTAGATGTTGTTTGGTACGGAGCGTTTGAATCGTTGATTTATTTAAAAATGATAAAAAAAAATAAACGGTACTTTACGAGACAATAGCCGGAAATCGAAGCTAGAAACTGTTTTCTCTACAAGTTCTTGATTGAAACAAGACACTGCCATGATTGCAATTTAACTTGTGCATCGAAAATGAAAAAAAATTTTAAGGAAACGAGTATACCACTTACACTAATGAAAAACGTTTTGTTGTCGCCTGTATAGGCTTGCGATGAAAATAGTTTCTATCTAAAAATGCGTCATGTACTGAGTTTGTCTTTACAAATTGAAAGTAATGCAACTCATTTGTGCATTACGATTACATGAAAATTTTAATAACAAAATATTAAGCGGATTAGAAATTTCTCTTCATCAAGGATTTGAATAGAAACTGACAATTGAAATTCATGTAATTTAAAAATAAATAATTATCTGTAAAATGATAGATAGCGTAAAAGTAAGAGTCTTTCGTATTGCATATATGTATATGAGGACAAAGATAATGTTTATTAAAATTAGAGCCACGTATGTATAAAACTAAATAATTTAGTTTTGATAAAATTAGAAAGGCTTAAATGATGCTAAAACTAAAAGAAATATGTAAAGAACACATTTATTTCATTAATGTTTCAGCTGATTTTTCGTGATCCTATGATTATGTTGTTGATTTTTGAAATTATCAAAAATATTCTTTGTTGAATAGTAGTACTTCTTAATTTACACAATTTGCTGTTGCGCGTCACATTAAAAGTTTCTTCATTTTTCAGATGTATACCAACACGTTTGATATTGAGTTTAGATAGTTACTAAGGTAATTTTTAAGTTTTCATATGAAACTTATTAGATCGACATCGTAAAGCCATGTGAAAAAATTTTTACGGCAAAAAAAAAAAAATAAATAAACAATTTGTTTTAGACGATTCAAGCAAGATATTTTCATCGAATAGAACTTATACTAGTTTCTCAAAGAGGAACGATAATAGATAACAAGAGAAATCTCCGATTGAGATGAAAGAATAAACTTTACTGCAAGGTATAAACCAAGAAACATTGTCGCAAGTTGTAAGAATGCAACTGTGGCGATAGAGAAGCGTTTTTAAGTAACTGTGATTTTTCAAATGTTTTATATTGAATATAAATATAAATGTATATTATATGTATATTAACTATGAATTCATAATGCATAATTAAAGGAGAATGTTTTTGATGTTCGCGCTCTGTTTTTACAAAAAAAAACAAAAAAAAAGTAAATAAAAGAAAACCTGAGAGAAGCATCGTAGTCATTTATGTGTATTCGTTTTTATACAAAATGAGCGAGAAAATAGATGAAAAAAAGCAAATGTTTTTTTTTTCTAGTTGTTTCTCTGTTATTTTTTTTGTATCTAAGAAAGAAAAAAGAAAAAAAAGAAAAAAAAAAAAACGAAATGTATGCAGAATAAGAAGCTTTTTGTTTTTTGAGCGCAAACGAAAAAAAGTTAGGCGCTGGTGAGAAAAGTGTCGGAGAAGTTTGTCATTGTTCAATCCAAAGCGCGATCTCTTTCTTTTTTTCGACGGGTAAAAATGTTCGGAAAAAAGTTATCTATACCACGACCAATTGAAAACGCAAATAGTTTGCGAAATATGTATGAAACAAAATACATCGCTAATATTAGAAAAAAAAATCAGCCTGTGCTTTTTCATTCCATTTTTCCTTGTGAAAAAAGTCCTGGTTAAAACTTTTTACATCCGGGTACGTATAAATATATGTCTCGCACAAACTAATATTACAATGCTTTTACCTAGGGGCTGGGAAAAAAAACTTTCTTCAAGCAAATTAAAACGGAAAGGAAAAATGACTTTGGGAACGAATTTACATATTCAAATGAAAATACAACTTTCCACCTATATACTCGCTATCCATCAAGATTTAAATTTGATTAATGTTTTTTTCCTGATTACGAGAGTGATTCAACGTAAAATCTGTAACGTGTAAAAAAAATTTACTCAATTTAAAAATACATCGAACCTAAATTTTAATAATCGAGTGATAATATTTTCTCTGGTTTTTCTTTTCATACGCTACTTCTCGTACGTATGGGACGATGACATCGATGGAAAGTTTCGACGCGCCTTTTTCATTGCCGAGTTGCCGTCTAGACTCTTGCTTCCTTCTCTGGCGTATTTACAGAACTCGAACTGCAGAGTAATGAAAAGAGGAAGCGGAAAAAAAACGTCGACGAGGAACACGTGTGTGTACACTCTGGTACTATATTAGAGATCGAAATTGCGGTGTAGAAATTTTTTTTCCTTATTTTTTTACTACTTTGAAAGTGCCAATAATATGCAGGAACCCTTCAAGTGCATTTTTGTTTTTCATTGTATATGCAAATAAAATTTTACATTAAATATTTTGATAAATAATCGGTGTCGAAATAAGAAGTTTCGAAAATAGTGATAAAAAATAATATACTATATGCTACTGTGACGATTTCTTAGTGCTTTCTAAAAAGTACACAATGGATTCGATGTAAAAGAGCAAGGAAACAAGTGTAGAACATGATGTAGAATATTTTCAGCTGTATATTTATCTTCTGAGTTTGCAACAAATAAAATATCATTTCCGATTTCAAACTACTATTTCTTGGCCAAGATAACGTATAAAATGTCTCAGACCAAATGCTGCTGTCCTAGCCTTTGGCATGAGATATTTTTTATTTTGCCTCTGTAAATTACCAATGTGCTACTTTAAAGGAGAAAAAATGACTTGCTAGACCTCTAGGCAGAGACCGTAACTTTAATTTCTGTTTATGTGAGAACTTTACATTGTTTCAATTATTTCGTTTTAAAATTTATAAACATTTTTTTCTGTAAGAAATTGTTTGCTCAAAGGAGTTGAAAATCCAAGTAAATTGCAACAACTTATTTTTTTTTTTTTTTCAATGATTTTTGCAACTGGTAATAATTTAAAATGGTACTCAGGGATCATCTCATATTTTTCGATGAATATAATTTTTGATAAGGAAAATTGAAACAATAAATTTAAAAAGTTTGTTATCAGCAACTTTTTAAAAACGACGATTGTAAAATACGGTGAAAACATTTTTTACGAGCCCTGCTTTTTATCAATTATAGAAATGATGAAGTAAATTATGACTATCAAAGTAGTAATACACATAGCCTGGGGGACCACGAGATCTATACGTATCTCTTTTTTTTTGTAAAAGTTGACAATTTCTTTTACTACGCTCCTAATGAGGGAGCGCTGGTTTTTTTAAATTTCATTTCCAGCACTTACGACGCTCAACTCCAAAAGATTGTATTCAATACAATTTTCCATTCAAGTGAAACGCGGTTGGATTTATTTCGCTCTTTGTGTGATCGCCTAATTAGCTAGAAAATTCTCATCCGCAACGGAAACTTTTATACTCCACACTGAAATGAAAAAAAAGAAAAATTGAAGTCTGCAAATGTCTTTTAAACTTGAGCAATTATTTCTTGGAGAACTTTGTTGGGGTGTATTTCCTGTGGTTTGTTAATTTTTTTCAATAATTATCAGAGATGTCAATCACAGTGCAAAATTAACGTAGTAATTTGAACATTAATAAGGGAAAACTTTCCACTACCTTTTGACGCTCACGACCACGTCCATAAAATCGAACGACCATCACTTAAGCTAATTGAAAATAGCCATTCGTTTGCTATAGAAGCGTATTAGAAACGATTCATCGAGCGAACTGCCTAATTAATTATGTACACACACGCACACAAAGTTAAACAAACAAAGCACCAAAATAGCTGTAAATTCTTGCAATTTTAGTTTTTTTTTATCATTTGCTCTTAATAATTTGAGAAAAATAATATCCACAGAGTCGTGTAAACCCATGATATGATATCGAATGTAAATATAGCATTCAAATAAAATTAAAAATCAATGATAAATTGTAAGTCCGATGATATTTACATTGTACCTGTAATCGATCTTAAAAAAAAAAAAAAAAAAAAAAAAAAAAACCCATGATCAAACTAATCCTTCAACGAAAAAAACATGCTCCAAAGAGAGGTATTTACTTGTTTTTCTAGTCCCGTGCAGTTCTTTCGCAAACGCACCAAATTCACTCTTCTCGCAAGCATATTTCGTACAGGGAAAAAGAAAAAAAAAAATCTCAATAACCTGATACGTTTCCTCACAACTTACCCGACTGTTCAAAAAAAAAAAAAAAAAAAAGGTAGCTGCGCAAGCTCGTTCTGGCTCACCGAGCGAGAGGACACGAGAGGCGTCTCAATGCACGTCCGCTCGGCGGCGCCACTACTGCGATTCGAGCTTGCAAGCTCGGGCCGCACACGCAAGGGCGCCACTCGCCAGGCCGGGACGGGCGGCGAAGGAACGACCCCCACCCCCATACACCGTTTCCCCCAGTGCGCGTCAACATTGCTCCTTTTGTAACATTTTGGTCTGCAGTCGTTGGTTTCTCTCGTTGCCCTCGGCCCTCGACCAACGCCAAAACCAAGAGGCACCAGCAAAACCACGCGCAGCATGAAGCTCCAGCCGCAACGACACCGGAGCGAGCGTTGGGCGAGGGTAGACAGACATCGGCCTTGAAGTAAGTCCATAGGGTAGTAGAGAGAGAGAGAGAGTGGCTGGGCTCTTTTGTGCGCCCGACCCCGCTAAGAGGGCGGTGTGTGTGTGCTCCCGTAGAGAGGCTAGCTTAGCGGCCGATCGATCCTCACGAACGGGCCTTGGCTTTTTCCCTCTCTCTCTCTCTGTTCAAGCTCGTAGTGTACGTCTGTGCATGGCATGTATGGTGGCTCGGGGAGAGGCCGGTCGTGGGTGTAAACACGCGTTACCGTCGCTTGGGTTGTTGTTTCTTTATTTTTCTTGATTTTCCAAAGGGGCTGAGGTGGAGCTTCATCTTTTTTCTCTCAATCGGAGGGTCGAGGATCGGTGGTCTCTATTTGCCTCCAATTGATCCGCAACAGTGGTGGCGCTTTGGTTGATCGAACGGTATTAATAATTCATGATTCAAGTTCCAATCGCAACTGTATCGACGCAGTGGTTGGGGGGGGGGGAATAAGAGGGTGTAGCTAAATAATGCATTTCACGACAACGCCTCGATCTCTCTTTTTTTTCCATCACTCGTCAAATCCATGTATATTAACCCGTCCGTGGTGTACTCATTCCTCTCTCTCTCTCTTTTAACCTTCACCGCAATTTCTTCCTTTTCTTTTTTTTACCACCCCAACGCTACATATCATCCAGGTAAAGGGGTCAAAGCGGTTCGCGCTTAATCATTTTCGCTGCGCCTCTAAAAGAGAGACTTTATGCGGGACTGGCACATTTCGCCGGCTGTGGCCTTCTGGAATAATTCATCCCTCCGCTGATGCACAAACGAGGGCTTTTCTCGCCTCGATTTTGGAAATGGCTTTATTTTTTTTTTTTTTATTGTTCCCACGTCGTGATGGGACATTCGACGAATTCTGTCGAATAGACTTAAAGTCGATGTCATCTTTTACTCAAGTACTTATGTAGTTTTTGAGAAAACCTATCGAACGAGGTAAATTGATAGCCATTTTCGTGCAAGTGCATCGAAGAAACATATTTTTCGAATCAGCAGAGCGTCAATCAAAGTACTCTGAGTATGAGTCCATTACCACGAGAGATAAATATGTATCCGATAGCCATTTTGGGGCACGAGGAGCGTTAAAATGAAGGCTTTATTATCTTGACGTACACGAAAACATGTTCATCGCTAATGGATTCATCCGAACCAAAGACAAAACAAGTATAGTAAAGTACACCCCTTCCGACAGCATGAAAAGACCAAAGAAAAAAAAAAAAAAAAAACACCAGTCGATTCGGCTCCACGCGGTATTTTTCGGAAATCGAGGACAGCCGGATATTCAGACATCTCCCAGGGTCTGACTGAACAAGCCGCGTTGATGAGGCTATTCGTGCGAGCCACGTCCGCTTTTTGAATTTCAATTGCCACGTAGGAATGGAAACAATGGCCCTTTGATGGCTTGCATTTGTTCCAACTTTGTTGGGCAAAAGTTGAATCGAGTCAACCCAATTGTACGTTTTTCGGGGGAAAAATTTACCATTTGGTTGTCATTTTATTGAAGTATCGGGCGCTAAAGAATAACGATGTTTTTTTTTTTTTTTTTTTTTCGATTAATACATATGACTTCCGTGCAATTAATCAAGGATCAAAAGCAGCGCTTTCAATTATTTCTCTGACGAAAATAAAAGGGCACTCCCACGTATCGATCGCGCTGAACAGCCGTACCCTTTTTCACCCCGAGACCAATAAATCCCCACGGGTACATGAAATAAACCTTCGAGCCATCGCCACGTTGTCATATGTGTATGACTTTTTTCCTCCCTTGTGTAAACATGGGAGAAAAACAAAATGGTCAGGCTCGAAGGAAATCGTATATTGCGTTGCTCTGAAAATCGGGAAAAGCTTGAATCCCTCTTTTTACGTATATACAACTTATCCTTTTCCAACGGGGACGAGAGGGACAATGTAGGTCACGATGGTCGATGATATCAGTCTTTTTCCCCTCCCCCCTTTAACCAAGGAGGAAAATGTAAATCTTGTGGTACAAGAGACAATAAGAGGGAAGTTATCAACGAAAGCATCCGTGAAATCGTGTACAGTCAACGAGAGATCTCTACCTATAAGTATTTTTTTTCTCTCCGGTTGTTTGTTTTTTTTTCCTCTGCCACATTGTTCCGAGGGCGACCCTTCATTTTTTACGAGACATATGTTTTTTTTTTTTTTTCGACAACAATGACGCTACGGGCGGCTGTTTTGGTGTATACAACATCGTTAGGGAAAAGAATTAGTTTTAGGAATAATAATACACTCTCTGCGGTAGGGGTCGTTTATATAGAGACGTCTGACCAAACTGGGATACATCTACTTACGGGCGGTCGGACGCCTTTGCTAACAGTTGGAGGTGGGATAAATCTCGAGGGTAATGGGAAAAATTACTTGGAGTGTGAGAGAAAAGAGGAGAGTGGGAGGACAAACTAGATGATTAAGTAAGGGAAATATTTGTTGAAATGGAAATGACTTCAGTCGCGGACACTTGCTTCAGTCGTTTCGGTTCACGTGTAAAAATGAAAACAGAACCATCACGAAAAATAACTTTTACAACATGTCATTCCTCATATGTTTACGAAACTTTGTGTAATTGTGCAATATCACATGAACCGGGAAAAATAAAAATTGCAAAGGTCCCGTTGGGACAAGCTCGGCTTTTCGGGCTGATTAATAAGCTGCAGTCTCGCGGACGGGAATTAAACTCCAATTACGAAGAAAAGTAATATCAAAAAAATACCTCTACTTCCAATCGAAACTCGGCAACCCTCCCCCCCTAAAGTACAAAGGCGTATTTTTCCATCCCTCCCTGGCGTGAGTGTGAATCACTCGTTCACAACAACGAACATCCACGCGCGCGCGCGCCCATAGAGGGGGGGGGGGAGGGTTAAAAAAACGACATCCTGCAACCCCCGGCGCGAGAGGAGGGACACCTGCAGTAGTAGGAGCCTCGGCGCCGGCCAGGCGGCTTCACTCGCTCGTTTCGGGCTCGAGTAACGGTCATGTACTATATGGTGCGCCTGCCGCGTTCGTCCCTTGTTTTCTTCGGCATTGGCTTGTCGCTGTACTTTTCGGCTCAAGATTTTTCCGATCGATCGAGTCTTGTTCTTTCCGAGACTGCTGCTGGTTGTGTGCCTTTGTGAAAAGATTAAAAAAAAAAAAAAAAAAAAAACGTGCCTTCGCGAGTTACTTTAACACAATATAGGGCCATACTCCAAAACCAAGTACTTCCGAGATGAATGGACAATGACATCAATGTGAATTATTTTGCAACTTCTTATCCACACCTACTCGCGTGCCCGTGGTTTTTCCCCCTTCACCAGAGGACGGTTATACACACACCTGGTTGTTGTTTGTCGGATGGAAAAATAAGGATATTTTTACCAGAGGGGACGAGTCACGGGGAGGGTGGAGGTTTTTCGGATCACGCGGTCGAGTCCGGGGAGATAGTAATCATGATACAAGTGTCCGGGGAGGGCGACGGCGGTGGTTACAATTGCTGCTGTCCGAACGTTGACGGTAACAACAAGTACGAGAAGTTGGGCCGGAAGAGCCTCGCCTACCTGGCGAATCTGTTCAAGCCGCGCAGGGGTGGTTTTGTCGCGACACCCGGCAGACCTGCATCCGCTTCTTCTTGTCTCGCAGGCATGAGGATTGACGAGGATACCATGCACCGCTCCTCGGCCGGGCTTGAGAATACAGGTGAGGTTTTTTCCTCTTTTCTCCTCTATGCTCCAATTGTAGCTTTGTTGGGAGGAACGCGCTCGTGATTTACGAGTTTGCGGCCAGTCGGCTCAGCTGTCTGGGAAGTTTTGCCAAATGGCACACTTTTTTTTACTATTGAAGCTCCATAAGATGTGTGTCTTTTTTTTTGTAGCCGATGAAGATTTTCTTCCTTCCATAGAGTTTATTTCATCACTTGGATTTTTAGTTTAGCTAAACTTGAGACCACAGGCTCCTCCTTAGGGTTGTGGCATTTCTTAAAAAAGAACAAAGTATGTTGTGATGTAAAATTCAATATAGCTTTGACGAATATAAGGGTGTATATACACAACCAAGATGCGTTAAAGACACCCGGAATGCTTAATCAACCCTCCGATGTACTTGTTTCGGTCAAAATCTGCAAGATTTTCTCCAAACCGAATTCTCTGCTTGCAAAGTTCATACACTGATATTCTTTCGACAAAAGGGGAAAAAAATACTTTGATTCACCATCGCCAAAAAAAAAAAAAAAAAAAAGCTCGTACGCAACACAATCCGAGTTGATCCGCGTGCACTCGACTCCGGCTATTGTGCACAAAACTCAATTATCTCCGGGTGATCCGACAGAACAAAGAGAGCCCCCCTAATCCCTATACGTGTGTACCTGTATTGGTGCTCTTCCGCAAAGAGCTTTAGCCCGGCAATTCCGATCCACGCGCTCTTTTGCAGTATCAAACTCAATAAAGCGCAGTAAGAATTCACGTGCCTTCGTGACCTTGAAGGGGGTGGAAAGTATACGCACGGACGAAACGTACACTACATGCAATTGGATTGCGCAACGTATGAAAATCCTTATCAATTATTGAGGAGAGATGAGCAATACGTAAGCGCCGAAGCTTTTTATGGTCGGTCGAAAGGCTGTTTTTAACTCCTCCTCGACGGAAGCTATATAGTCGAGGGTAGAGGCTGCGTGCGCTTGATTACGTTGTTGTGTGTATACCTTCGATCGAGCATGACCGCCGAGTTCGTACATGTATATAGGTACACGCGGGTAAGGCGCTGATTATTTGGTGACACGAGTGTTTTTTTGGACAACGAGGGTACGACTCCTTTTTTTTTTTTTTTTTCCTAGTCGGCAAGATGGAAGTTGACGAGCTAAGGGCCAAATCGTCGACTGTATATCGCTTGAACTTGATTATCCGCGTGTAACTTTGTTTACACTAAAATGCGACAATATGTGCGGGTCACGGGAAGTCAATGGACGACTATCGCAGGGAAATGACGGCAACGATCATCAGCTTCCGGGGTGGAAAACCCGCGCTTCCGAGCGAAATCGGTAGTGCGCGATTAATTTAATCTCCGTGTGTAAGCGTTAATTTCGATTATGACATTTTGTTTTGTTTTTATCAATTCACGCGGCAAGGGGGGGAAAAACCTCAGCCGTCTGGTGAATTTCGTCGTGTCGGTCGATCATTGCTCTCCCGGGAATCCCATGCTCCCCCGAGAGGCTTTGTCTCCGAGTCTATACATACAACTCTTGCAGCGTTAAATAGACACCGAGTGCAAATAAATGTCAAGGGTAATTTTTGCTCAGTGGGTGTTTTGGGATAATAACTTTTTTTTTTTTTTTTAATACCACATCTACTGTCGATGAATTAAAATTTAAATTTGCATCGAATTAGCACGTGTACAGCTGGAGGCACGCGAATCGAGACACGTAGAGGTGTCGTGGCTGACATGATTGATGTCGAGCTACAACGTGAATATACAAAAACAAGGTGCACACCGATGTAAATCATCTAAGGCTCGTTAATCGATCTAAAACAGCGACCTACCGATCAAACGAAAATCTTAAAAATGAAACTTACATTTTTTTTTCCCCACACCAAAAACACTTTGATTTGACACGGAGAGAAAGAGAAAAGGTCAATCGCGCGGTGCATTAATCGGCACAACACACACGGAATATACATTATCGTCGCTTGTAATTTCAAAATCGCACGCCATCCTCGTGTCGTTGAATTTACGCGAATAACTATCTAGTTTATACACCTTTGTGCTAGGTATATATATTTAATGGTATACATATACGTACACTTATACAATCCATGGAAATTCAAAAAAGGCTTAACTCCATTGTATACACGGGGGATTTGTTTATTCATTTTTCGTTGTTGGTTAGCACTCTTGCATTATTGGTTAAGTATAAGTCAGCGGCCGCGGCACGGGTGTTCCCAGGTGTCCCCAGTGGTAATGCAACTCGCGGTCGAGTTTTCTCGGGGGTGCCGATTTCTCTCCTTCGCCACCCTGGGGTAGCTAACAGTGGGGAGCACGTTGCGTTGTGTATATACTATTGGTCTGGCCTCGAGAGCGACTTTACAACGAGTTTGGGGGAAGGAAGAGGATCCCCAAGCAAACGAAACGAAGCACGAGCTCACCGAATGAAAAATAAAACGTACCAGTAGTCTGTGTAATTCTACATGGCGTTTACCCAGAAGTACAACGCGAAAATTATTTTCGAGCCTATATCCGAGCGTCGCGCATGTACATGGTAAAAAGCGCCTATCTTTTTACATTGGCCTGGCTGCTGTCTATCTTTCCTCCTCTCGGCGCCTCGGCTTTTCAATCGCCCAACGACGCCGGTACATGTATATATATACTTCCCCCGTACGTGCGTAAGAGGCCCCGGGAAGATCGATGCTCCGAGTCTGCTGACTGATACAACTCATGTACCGCCCGCTCTACCTTTTATCTCTGCCGAGATGCATCATCGCAAGATGCTCATCGTGCACACCAATTTTTTTTTTTTTTTTTTTTTTACTCTGCATATAGTTTGTCCATTATAATTTTTCGCTATTTAGATGGCCTCTGCGCGAATGATTGCGAGAAATACAGATGCGTTGTTTGGAAAAATTATTATCAATATAGCTTCGTCGTCGTCGACTGAAAAATTAAATTCTTTGAAAGGACCGAAACCAAATGTATGCGGCGTAATTAAAAACAAAACAAAAAAAAAAGGAGCTTCGTCAATTTATTAACAATTGAATGATAAATATAATGCAGCTGTCGGAGGTATGCTGTGCAACATGACGAGGCCACGGTCGGCGCCTGGCCACCAGGTCGAGGCGAACGCCGGCAACACCGGCATCAGTAAAAGCAGCAGCAGCATAAGCGGCGGCGGAAGCAACGACGGGGCATTGTCGTCGTCGCCATCAGTCGCGGTGACCGGCGTGTCGAGGATACCCTCGTCCTTGAGCGTCACGGCCGTGGACGTGGTGGTCGCTTGCGGCAGACAAGCGAGCAACAGTTACACCTTGGGCAACGCCAACGGAAGCAGATGCAGCAGTAATTACAACAGCCGAGGTGCCTCGCCCTCCCACTCGTCGATCCTGACGTTGACCCCAGGCAGGACCCGGAACATCGACCAGGACATGGAGGCGCTTAGGCTCAGTAGGCAGGACAACCCGTTTGTCAAGGTTCGTTATTTGGCTGTACTGCAGTACTATTCCCTTCTTTTCAAGCTTTTTTTTCATATAACGTACATTTCGTTCGATTTACGAGATCCGTTTTGTTTTTTGGAAATTTTCAATTTCAAAAACGTCACAGCATATAGTTGGTTAAAACTTAATTTTTCAAACAAGCTCGTACTGCATATCATTTCCGCTTTATACCAGATACAAAAATGTAACGCAATCGGAAGACAAATTTTCATGAAATGATAAAAATCAGCTTCCAACAATTTTTCGTGTGGTCACAATTGAAGGGATGAAAATTGTTTGTTGAAAATATTTAGGGTTTGGATTAACCCACCTCATAATAAGCGTAGTTCAATTAATTTGAAAAATAAATAAATAAAAGTATAGTAAAGGGTGACAAACAGTTTTAGCTCAATAAAATCGATGCGTATTAAATAAAAGAAACGTACTATTCATCGAGATAATTGCTGTAATTTTTTACTCACGTTTATCCGCGTGATTTCAATATATTTAAGTACAAACAACGTATCAAAAGCTAGTTGTAAGTGTTGAAAGTATGGGTTTTTGGATTTGAAATAATTGAGACCAAACCTTCCACTTTTATCCCCCTACCGTGGTTTGTTTTACATTTTCTTTCTCTCTTTTCTCGTGATTATCTTCTGTTTACCGCTTCGAACAAAGAACGCAGGGAGGAGGGTAAGAAAATCAGGTCAATTTTTTTCTATCAACCTTCAATTACCCTCCCCCACATACGCCGAGAGTCACATTGCCCGGAAAGATCAAACCGCCAATGAGCTTAAATAGCCGCTGGCGTTTCCCCCCCTGACCCCGACGTCCCAATTTTATTTACACTCTTTTCTGCAAAAGGCGCAGCATGTATCGATCGAGACAAAACACGGGACAGCGAAACAACTGCGGCCAATAAACAACCGATCGCGCGTTATCGAACCGATTCATTAGCCGGGAAATATAAATCAATGCTCGTAAAGAAAAAAAAAAAAAAAAAACGCGTACCATGAGTTTCTCTTTCTTGATTAAAATAAGTAAAGCATAGCAATCAGCTGCATCGGGGATATAGTACTCGTGGCTTTTGTTTCTCCTTCTTTAGAGCTATAAGCGTGTACAGAATCTCGAAGGTCTCCTATTTAGACAATATAGAATAGGTAGCGTGTGTTATATATATACCTACACGTTATACACACGAGACCATATAATTAATTTTCGTTCTGCAGTCGAGTCGTTGTTATAATGAGAGATGGCTTTGTTGAACGTAGGTATAGCCACAAAGAAATAGGGACGAGTTATGCTAAGAGCCTCCCTTTTTTTTCTAAAAAAATACGACCAGAGTCAGAAATCTTGAGTTTCATGAATAGGTTGTTATACTCGTTACATTTTTTTTTCCTTCGTTTTTTATTTTAATTAATCGAGGGGGGAGTGCATTTTATGAAATCCTATTGTTTGAATTTGGATTCCAGGTGTTAGCGAGCAAAGAAAGCCTCATAGAACCCGTAGAGGAGTACGAGTCGGACCTCGCCATTCTTATGTCACAAGTATATATATATATATGCACATAAAACACTTGATCTGTAACTATAGCCTTAAAAAATAATAATAATAATTCCAACGTTACCCCGATTATTCCCGACAAGCAGGAAATGGTCGACTTGGATCCGCTGACCTTGACCCAAGTGCACAAGCACCTGGTCCGAAGTCCACCACCCGCGTCGTGGAGTCACAGTCCGGTTTTTCATTTCCCGCACCAACAGCACCCCCAGCAGCCTCAGCACAGCCCGGGGAGCAAATCCGACTCGGGAGCCCACTACAGGACCATCTCACCAAAGCCCGGTCTACTGCATCGGCCCACCCAAGACGACCAGCCAAAGAGCGAGGGCTCCATGGAGACTAGAGGTAACCAGGCCACTGTGTTTAAATCAACGAGTTTCAATTTGATATTTCAACTAAATACAATTTGGCTCATTCCCACATCCCTACCTCGGCTTCAGACAAAAGTTAAATAAAAAAATGTTTCTCCCGAAAGTTTTTCCAAGCCTGGAAGTGCATTCGTAAATAAACGAGGCCCTTACCGATTGGCTTCTCGAGTGCATTAGTATAATATATATTACAATGTACGTCTCAGTAGCTTATACGAAGCAAAAACTCGCCATCGGCAGGGCGACATTGACATTTTAATCGTAGAGGGGAAAAAAAACCACAATCGATTCCGCTCTCTCTCTCTCTCCCGCGCTGCCCGGGGAAAAACTCATTTCGCTCGAGTACAGACGCTCTTCATTCACTCACCCACAAACTCATTTCGCAACCCGTGGGCTTTAAAAACGAGGGCGCATACAGTGTACGTATACATACATGATATGGAGTCAAGGAAAGGCTGGTGGCATCGAAAAAACTGAATTAATGTTCCTATCGATTGTCGTACCCATTTGTCTCCACACTTTATGCACATATATTATACGGAATTTGAAAAGTTAACGTTCCACGCGAAAGTCCTTCTTATACGAGTTATTGCACGCGACCGTATATAATTGTTCTTCTTCGTGTTTTTCAAAGACGTGCACATTTTGTGCAGCTATACGTAGGATAGTCTCGTCAAGCTCGCAAGCTCTGCAGTCTAAATATGTGATGGAAGTGTCGATGAGCTTGCAAGCTGTGGTAGGCTTTGCGGGATCATTAGAAAGGGAAGAAAAGACTCTCGGGCTGGAAAGTCCAAAGGACCACTTGAAGGAAAAAGCGCGGCTCGAGGGAAGAAAAGCTTTCGGTGCGCCGAAATGTGATGTACAAGTATAGTTTGAGGAAAGAAAAGGAAGGGCACGTACCTGCACGTGCGCCGACCAATTACGTAAAGTGGATTCGCGGCCTCGACCTTGACTCGCGAAGATGATGATGCTGATGATGATGATGCAAGCTCGCGAACTTCCGGGATATATCGATCATGTACACGTATAGTGGTTCGATTGTTCTTACTTGTAAGGTCGAATCGAACTGACCGGTCTCGAGTGGAGCACGTGTGTGTTTAGTGTGTTAACGGAAAAAAAAATTTTTTTTACATAATTTCAACTAAATGAACAGTTAAAGTAACACTGACTTCTATTTTCAACTACTTTTAACAATTTTTAATACTTTAGCTAACCGATTTTAGTTTTTCCCGTGTACTTGGAAAGTAGATAATTTACGATATTGGGTGTCTCGTAATTTTTCATCTAGTATGAGTTAGTATCATTTAATATGAAGGGAGCGGGTTGTCCGATGTATCATCAAAGTCAATCGAGAGTAGTGGGGTTGTCGTGATGTGTATATAGGTATACGAGTTCTTTCTCCGCTGGGCTATGCTATTTGGCTCTCTCGTCCGATGAAATGTGCTTTCGAGCTAAATCAATAAAAATGGACGCTGAAGACAAGGAGTCCTCGGAGTACATTAAATTGTGTACGTATGTCGTCATGATCAGAAAAAAAGTAAAGAAAAGATATTGGAAGCCCACTTTCTGCGTGGCACATGGCCCAAACTTATAATCCAATATCTCGAAAGTATAGTTATTTTCTTCAACTTTTTGTCTGGATGATTATGTCTGCTTGAAAAAAGTAAGATTTGCTACAAAAAAAAAAAAAAAAAAAAAAAAGAAAGAAAGAAAGAAAACATATTTAGTTCTGTTTGGAAATAATGTAAGGCAATCGAAAGCTATTTAATTTGAAAATTAATAGCAATTCAGATTTAGGACAAAAGCAAGACGATTTCATCCACCGTTTAGTGAAATATATGTTTTCATTTATTTTAAAACATGTTATTGTCCTTTGCTTGTATACCTTATTATCATTTGTAACTCCAGGAAAGCTTTAATTAAAGCTCGTTTCGAGGGCTTTCGATTGCCTTTCAAGCGAATACTTCAACCTCTTGAAGAGTACAGAGCTGTAATAATTTAGTATCCTTCGCGCAAAACCAGATTGGCCAAACCATCCAACCAAAGACAATGACTATAGCTCACAAGGTAGGAGATTATATGACTTTTGGCAGTACGCCACGCAGAAACTTGCGCCTCCAGTTTTGCTTACCTCTCATCTCTTGATTTTTCGTACATTCAAACATGCACACAAGTACATTTGATTACCGCAACGAAATCCTTGGTAATATGAGTTTGCTCGTGCTTATTTCTTCTGATATAAAACTAATCTGGAAAACTCGCATTGCATAAAAAAAAAGAGTTGTCAATAACAAAAAGCGGAACGATAACAACAATATCTCTCTTCTTCGCAAAATATAGTCGTAGATTAGAACATATTATGTCCACGTACGCATAGAAGTATAGAGTTAAAAGTAAAAAAGAGAAAGGGAAAAAAATCGCAATACGGTAACTCCGATGGCAGCTGGTAGATTTCGAGGCTCCGCGTCGCCCACACACTCCGATGCTTATTGCCTTTTTTTTTTTTTCAATCGAGTAAGGGGAAAAATAAATAATGTCGTACATATGAAAGTCAGAGAAAGTACTTCTCGGCAACCACAATTTGTAATACTTTTAATAAAAAAACAATTCTTTCTATGAATACTAAAAAAGAAAAAAAAACCAGCCACCGAATTTTAATGTATATCACATTCGTGAATTGCGCTTGTCAATAATAAAAAAAAGTTTGGTCTCGAAATCGGACTTTGCTAATCTTGAGACGCAATGAAGCGCTCGTCATGCGGTGTACAGGCCAAGTGAAAGAAGTCCGCGTTTAGCTCGTGTAAAGTTTGGATTTTAAGATGTATGCGATTACTCGAGCGCACGAATTTGTAATCTCTCACGCGTCAATGACTGTAATAAAAAATATTGAGCTTTTCAATCGAGCTACGAATGTGAAAACTGTATGTATTTGGTTGGAAAAAAAATTTCGGTAACGATACAAACAACAATAATCCAGGGATATAATCAAACACTAACATTGACGAAACTCCATCCGCATTTCTTGCCGAACTGTATCGCTTGGAGGGATACTATATTAATTTATTGTGCTTTTGCGGCATTCCTTGGTCAATTGTGCCACGTTTTCGCTTCTAAATACACCATTATATACTCCAGCTTGATAAACTTGATTTAATTCACTTTATACGTCTATTTACGAATGATCCTGGAATTTCACATTATTGCCATGTAAAGCTCGGCATAGGGAGCACCAGGCAGTTGAGCTTCAAAATGTTTATGCATATCCGTAAATCAGTGAGAGTACTACTGAAAATAGAGAAACGCATGCGTGTCGGTATAATCGACGTTACCAACGTGTATTTACACACTCTCACGGACAGACAAACACATATTATATGTGTACGAATTTCGGGACTCAACTCCAGCATGTATCCCTCAGTATTATCGTCACGAACACATATGTATGCGGAAGCATCTATTTCAAAATCGATATGGTAAACGCACGCGCGAGTTCCCTCATTTGGTATTTACGATTCATAAAGTAATGATTTATCGACTTGGTTATTTCTCCTCAGTGACCGCATGGTTTTTTTATTTATTATTTTTTCATCGCATGCGATTCCTGACTGGGAGCTTGTTTATTGATGATTCATACAAATATTAAAATAAGAAAAAAATGCTCCGATTGCCCGTGGACGGTAAAATTACTTTTCTTCCATCTACTCGGAGGAGCACTGACTTTTTGTCCATCGCGGTACTTTAAAATGCGCTGCTTTTTTACGGCTGCCATAAAAAAAAAAGTCTGAGCAATCCTTGGAGCAGTATACATCAACGGTGGATTTTTTATTGTTTCGCGTCGAGCCCGAGCACGGGGGGGAGAGCAATTGAAACTTTTTCACTGGCAAACAGTACCAAGGGATTCGACGAACCCTCGATTCGCGAGCTTTTTCGCATAAAATCCAGGAAATTAAAGACACACCCAGGGCAGTGAGAAAAAAAAAGAAAAACAAATCCAATCAAATCAATAGCTGAACCACATGTAATAAAAATGTTTGTTTTTCGCACTTCGCACGATGAGACGTAAAGATTTTTTTTTCCCCCTCCAACAGATCGTCACTCGCATACTTTCTCGCTGCTGAATCCAACGCCCATCCGGAGGATGCACCGCTCGGAGGACAGCGTCCAGCTGATGTCGTCGGAGTGAGAGTCCACGACGAACCAACTGGGATCAACGCCCGTTTGAGACGTATCTTTCGCTCGAGACACTCTGCCCGACCGAGTGACGGTCTGGATGAAAAGTTGGGCGGTGCAGATTTTTTGGATAACGGTGACTTACGAGAGGTTGACTGGCAGTAAAGTGACCGTAGGCGTCGTTGATGTTCTCGCAAATCGCGTGTTTCAAAGAGATATATATTATATAAAGTTGTGTTTCAATGAAAAGGAGGAAAAACATGGCATTCACTGAGGGTGTTGGGAAAAATAAGTTTTTTTTTTTTTTCTTTTTTTTTCCTTTTTCAAAGTAACGTTTAATTTGTCATCGTCAACCAAGGCCTAATACTTTGGGCGACGTGATAATGTGCATAAAAATAAATTACGGAGAAACGATGGATGCAGTGAAAATCGTATAAATAGTATGATCGAAAACGTTTTGCGGGGCACTCGGGAGAAAATTTTCGTTCGTTGCTGAGCGACAAACAAAGTATTGTGATGAATTGTCGATTTCAAATGAAATTTTGCATCTATTTTGCATTTAGGAATTAATTTTTTATTGAATATGATTCTTATGATAACTTGAAATATTTTTGTTTGAAATGTACTGGAATACTTTTTTTTTTTTTCTATTTTGTTTCAACATCATTAAAGTGTATAAATATTGAAATGTACTTCAGCTACGTTTTAACTTGCGTGATAGTTCAAATTAACACCATGTATGATGTAAATTAGGCACTAACTAATTATTTGTCGACAAAAATTTTGTTAAAACGTAAAATGCGTCATCGATGCATCTTAACTCCTCAAATGGGTGATAAATAGTTTAAACAAAAAAGATATTACTATTACGCGAATTGTATCGCAAGGAACTAAAAAATTAAACAACAAAACAAAGTAGAAAAATGCCTTTAGCCGTAATAAGTTACATACACGTGCATGCAATAAATTTTGCATTTTTTATGCGGGACTTTTCTAGTCTTTCGTACAACTTAAGTCGGGCCTATATATATAAAAATTTCACCACACAATATACAAAAATAAACAAAACGTTGGAATGTCTGAAATTCATTGTAGCAGAGTCTCGCTACTTTTTTTGGCTTGGATATTGGTCGTAAAATAAAAAATATACTCAACTACTTCAACACATTCCTACTGTAGGTGACTTTTTATTGTAACGCTATATTTAAAACTAACGAAGGATAACATTTTTCAGCAGCTTCCTGTGTTAAGAACTCAGGAGGTGAAGTTTGATTTTACACAGCAAAGTTGGAGTAAAGTTAATTACGCCGACTGGCATCATAGAATTGTTTTCGGAAGCTCTCGGATCGGTGGCCGTTTTTACATAATTAACGTTAATGGGCAAACGCGCTCTTGAATGTAGTGATAAATAATTAAAACATAACATGAAACATTATCCATCTTCACCTTGTGAAATATACTATTTTAAATAAACACGAAACATTGCCATTGACGTAGATGTAAAACTAAACTTCATGGAATTTTCATAGATTGAGGTATACGTTGTATTTGTATATGATTTTTTAAATTGCCATGGTTTTGCAAATTTTTTGAGAAATAGCATTAATACCTTGATAACAAATCAATATGTATACAATCATTTTGAAACGATAAAATTTTTGTGAGTATTTCATGATTTATAAATAAAATTTGCTTAGTCATTTTTTTTTTTTTTTTAAAGAAAAAAGTCATTCGTATGAAATTAGCGATCGGCATTTGCAACGATCTTATTAAGTTTTTTGATATCACTTTGAGTAAAACTCACTGTAGGTAACATGTGAAACAATGTTTCGTCTTTTGGCCATCAGAAAAAAAGCAAATAATCAGAAAAAGGAGAAAAATCCCCTTGCAAGGATTCGATCCTTTCACTCAAAGATACCGCGTTCGATTTTCACGTTCTTCAAATTTGTCTATATATTATATTTATGATACTCCAAAACTATTGTGCGATCCATTGTCTCGTCAACATTTAAAGTTTGTGACTCCGTCTTACATTACGTACTGTTTGTCTTACAAAAATATTTTTTCAAAAGTCTAACGAATGATTTGAAGCTAAATAAAAAAAAGGTAATAAATGATTACGTGATAATTACAATGACGTGGCGAAAAACTGTTTGAAAAGGGTTGATAGATGCTGATAGCTATGAAAAAGGAGTAATTTTAAAAATATATAAGGTTGACATTGAAAATCTAAATTTGGTCTTATCCATTTGAATTTGAAGACATGAGATATATTTAAATAGTTGGATATATAAATATTGAATTCTTTGTATACATATATACATAAGTATTATATAAATACATCAAGAGAGCATTGAATATTAAACTAAAAATTTTTTTTATGTACCAAACAATTTACCTATATGATAACTCAGCAAGATGAAGCATTAAGAGTAAAGATGGAAATTTTTAATCTAATCTAGTCATCAAATTGTATTTAATAGGAATAATAGAAAAATACTTGTAATTATAGAAAAAGTAAGAAAGTAGTCCTAAAAAGAAAAATTATCAAAAATTGTTTTACATTAAAAACAAACATCTAGTGTAATCTGTTCTTTTAAAATCATACAGTTAACATACTTCCAAGTCTATTATTTCAACTTTTAAAATCAAGCTCANATTACTGAATTAAAGCTTATTGACAAGTTCTTTTATTGTTGAAAAATATTTTGGCAAGAGGTTGGAAGTGTTACTGTACTGATAAAATTTTGCACAAAGCAAAAATTTTTTGGAGGTGTTGAGTACTTGTATAATTGAAATAGCAATCACGTAGGGTATACAGTAGTGTTTGTATTGATTGTTGTTGACAGAAAAACGAAAGTAAATTGATATATATATATTAAATACAACTAGTTGAATTTATAGATTTTCGTAATGTTTCTCAGCCAATTTCGTGGAAAAATAAGTGTCTGAAAAAACTGTTGATAAACTCTGTGTACCCTCCAAAAAGTTTAATACACAATAGATTGAGGCCTAAGGTTAAATCAACGGCCGAAAAAAAGCACAATGATGAAAAAAATAAAAATAAATGTCTAACAGGGTGCTGTGTTGTAATAAAAACGATTTACTCTCAGAGATGCATTTTTTGTGCTTTGAGCAAAAAAAACAGGAAAAAAAAAAATTTGTCCATATACAAAGCAAACATATATATTTGTGCACACCCACGATCAACCGATTAAAAGCTAAACTGTCTCGTGCTACTCTCAAACGCAAAAAAAAAAAAAAAAAAAAAAAAAAAAACAATATCTTGCCATTTATATGACTAATAAATTTTTTCTTATATCAAAATAAGTCATTTGTTAACCGCATGACGTGTTAAACAGCATTCAAATGTGGCGTGTATCCGTTAGCTTTGTAAAAATATTGATTTTTATTCGAAAATAAATATATATTTGTGTTACTGTAAACAAGACATGGCGTTTAGATTATTTTCACCAACCGCTCAAAGTCCCACAAAAAAAAAAAAAAAAAAAATTCTTATCCATTGACGCACGTACGTAGCAAAAGAGGACGGCAGCACGACGCGTCCCGATAAGCCTTTTATTTTTCCCCAGAATTCCCTCGTCATCGAACAACTCGATCGATCCAAACCGATCTCTCCAACGATCGCCTGTACATAAAATCACTTATTGTTTTCCTCTCCTGCCATTCACACCAAGCCGAATTTCGATAAGCTTTGCGACATTCGCTCGCTACGCCTATTGCAAACACGCAGTTCCACCACCCACACAAGCGCAAAGTTAACGGGGAGGGGGGCACCGAGAAAATCGATAATAAGGCACGAGTGCCATCTAAGGCGCGCCGCTGGAAATCAATTGTCCGTGGGATCGTATGTACATGCACAGCAGCGCGGCTCGCAACGCCAGTCGACTCGCGAGCACAACAGCTATTTGATAAACTTTGCGCGCAATCTCGGGAGAAACAGTAAGTACAGAAAAAAAAAAAAAAATACGCCGAGAACCTGTTCCTTGGGAGCGAGGAGGGGGGTGGGGGCACCGCGGTCGTAACGCGCGCTCCTTCGATATCACATAACGCGTTACTAGTGGGGGGCAAGGAGGTAACGGCGGCGTGCGTTATATTACATCCTCTGCAAGGCTTCGTTGTTGTTTTTTTTTTTTTTTTTTTTATCTTTATGTAACGCAAATGCACGGGAGTCGTAAACGACTGGATTTTTCGTTTGCGAGTGAACGAAACGACAAATAAGTGTAGCCGAAAACAAAAATCATCCATAGGGGAGGGCGACAATGAGAGGTATTCTGATATTCGATCACCTGAACGACGTATTGTTTACCAAGTGCAACAGAAAGTTCGCCAACCATGTGCAGAAACTCGCCAGGCTCCAGGGTCTCCTCGGCGAGAACGTGAGTTGTGACATTTGATTCGCTTATACAATAATTACATGGTCTTCAAGCGCTCAAATGCTTCAAAATATCTGTATCCTCGCGATGTGAACGCGCAGAACAACTTGCAGGGCGACACGGACACGTCGAGCTTCAAGCCGAGCCCTAACGTGATAATGCAACTGTTCTCGCCGCTCGTCACCTCCCAGCACGTCATGGCATCGCAATTTGGCAACACCTACACGGCGATGCGCTGCCACGACGGTACAAACATGGTCTTCGACGAGTTCATGGGTCACACGTTCATCTACGTCTCGAGCGAGGACCCGGACCTGATGCGGAGGACCCTGGGCGTGTGCGTGGCCATCGTGAAGCACCTCTGCGGCCCGGACGTCTCGATGTGAGTCGACGTGACTTTGCCACTTGAATGCCAACTGTATCGGAAATCAATTTTAGACTGAAGACGAGCAGACAGAAGGTCGAGCTGGTTTCGCATCTCTTGGACGCTTGGGGCGAGTTGAGGGGTTGCGAGCAGAGCCTCCTCACCGAGGCCGTGGAGCAGCTGTCGGTGAATCACGAGCTGGCAACGGGTACCCTCAGGGTACTCAGCGACGCGGCGGACAAGCTCAGAGCCCAGCCCGAGTTCACGAACGTTCACGCCTTGGTGCTGGTAGGGCAGAAGTTTTTGTCGCTCTTCTCGAGCAAGAACGCCCAGGACCTCCTGGCCTCGGATGTGCTGCTGATGGTCTTGCTGTGTCATGTGGCCAACAAGGACAAGGCCAGGGAATGTGACACCTCGGAGAACTACATACTCATGTCGCGCTGTACTCCGGACGATGAGAGGCCGGCGATGCGGAACTCCTCCGGCAAACTGTCCAAGCCCACAACCGAGGACATCAATATTCTGTTCGGTAGGACACTGTACCATGGCGTTTCTTTTCGTTTGGAATCACGAGCCTGTATGTGTGGAAACGTGATTTTCAGAGGGGTCGAGGGCGTCGTCGGTTAACGAGGGTCTGGACGGCCTCTACAGTCAACTGGTGCTTCTGGGCTCGGAGGTGAGCGGCTACACGGCCAACGCGGTCCACATATCCGACCTGACCGACGGCATCAATCTGGTGATTATAGTCGAGATGACGGGCTCGGCCATAGCATCCGGACTGTACGACTGTTTTTACCACCTGAACGTCATAGGGGGGTTGCAGCTGCAGCGCGACGTCGACGAGCTGAGGCCGGCTTTCGACAATCTGGAGGGAGCTGTCAAGCGTGCCTTCGATGGTATCAGGAAGAACCGGGGCAGCGTCAGCAACGACGTCGACATGTGCCAGAGGAGGCTGCAAGCAAAATGGGATCAGGTGAGGAAAAAGTATGCCGAGCTACTCAAGACCCGCGACGTGGAGTCGATTTTGATGATCGAGTCCAACACTGGGAGCTTTTTCGAAACTCTGAAGGAGCTCTTCAGGTTGACCTGTATGGACAGGAACTTTCTTCAGCTGGGGACCGACGTGATTGTCACGGTTTGCAGATTGGTCAGTCAGAAACTGAACGATTTCAGTGATTTTCACAGGGTCAAGGCTCTCAAGAACTTCACCATTGGATCATATCCTTTTTTCTTTTACATTTTCTGTGCTGTGTGATCAGAATGTATATAAAATGCTTTTGACTATATGTCCTTAATGCTTGATTTCGCAACTGCACGAGAACTTCCCTGACGATCAACAAATATCTCGAAGAGTTTCCTGGTCTGGTGCACTTTATATACATAGACAGGACGACTCACAGGTTGACTGCCCCAACAATAGATTTTACAAATACTGAAACATTAGAATTGACAACGAAAAAGGTAAATTTATAATTTCTCTTTATTTTTAACAAGATTTTCATAAACTTTTCAAGTAGGTTTCAAACTCTCTTGGGCTCCAAGTGTGATAAATTTTCAAAGTATGAGATTTGAAATGTACATACAAAGTTAAGAGTGAATAACGTATGGAACTAGTTTTAATTCGATAATCAATTGAATACCAAAAAATGTAAGAATTTAATTTTTTTTTAATCATTCCCACGTTAATTTTTACTTTAGAACAAAGAGTGTTCCACGATTGTTGTAAAAACATATTGATGTTATTCACGCACAGATATGGACGATGGTCGAGCAGAGTCGAATACACCTGCAGGAGGGACACATGTCTATAATGTGGAAAGACACTACGTTTAATTACGCATACTTTTTGTGGTTCGAAGACAGCTCGGTACGTTACACTATAATACAAAGTCTTACAACAACGATTTTTCATCTGTTTAAAAAAGATAAAACCTTATATTTTATCTCACCTCTTTAGGGTTCACCGCTGAAATGCAAGACATACTTTAATCACATCTTAAAAAACTTTCCAGTTCCTGGTATTCTCTGCGGAGATTATTACAGGTGTGACATTCTTTTGTAGAAATTTATTTTTTAAATCCATCAAACTTTTTTAAGATTTTGAATATCAAATTTTTTCACAAAAATGTTTTAATAGCTTGGAAACAAAACTTGACTTTAAAATGATTGACTAAAAAAAAAAAAAAAAAAACAATGCATCGCCAAAAATTCAAAAATACAGATCCGATAAAGAAATTTTTTTTTTTAATTTTAGAAAACTAGTGGAAACGTACTTCCCAAAGCTCTCACCTAACAAAATACGTATTTACGAGCTTTTCTGTGTCCACCTCGGCCTGGCAACTTCATCATGCGTTCTCGAGCACTCGAGACGCCTCGCAGCTACCATTTGGGAAATTACTGGTCTTCCTAACAATCCAGCTGATTTACTATGAAATTCACATATATGTGACTTTATAACACTTGAATCAACGCTGAAGACCTTTGAGTCCTTTTGTAATCATGAATCAAGATGGTCTCGTCTTTATATTATTTTTTAATAAATAACTGCTAACCATTAATGTAACAAATATAAAAAATTAATAGAAGAGAGCCATTTTCGAGCGAAAATCAATTGTCTACAGATAAACTGAAAAAATCCGTATTTTACTGAATGAAATAAAAAAAACTTAAAAAAAGATAGAAATGTATAAAACGAGACACAGCATTTCATCCTCATTTCCGAGTATCTGTTTGTACATAAGGACAACTTGTGAACGAGATCGTAGGTCTGTCTCGTCAAATTTCCTTTGATCAAACGCGAGTTTATCAGTTACGATGCAAAGAAAAATCAAGAACGACCAGATTCGCTATCTTGCGAGAGACGTAAACACAGGCTGGCTCCTCGACCCATGCTAGAGATCTTTAACGCACTAGGATCGGTACGGTGATTCCCTCTCGTAGCCGGCAACGGTGGTGATTTAGTAGGTCTCATCATTACCAGTGCATTTTTATTACTGCAGGTTACTACCTCTTCCTTATGCGTCGTTGTTTGTTCCATTGCATTATCGCCTTTCTCAAGCTTTGATGATTTGCTCATGAAAGTTTTTGTAGTCGTTCGGCTCTACAAAATTGGCAAAAATAATGACTGCACTCAGCAAAGTTTACCTATTAACGTGAATACTTGAAGCGTCGCTCACTTTGGGAGAATCAAAAATAACAGGTGACGTTGGGGAGTCATGTTCCGGTGATGCCGGAGTTTCAACTTCTGTTTTGGTGTCATCGACTTCCATCTTTCTCATTTGAGCTGTCAACTGCGCTTTTTCATTTATTTTGCGGTAATAGTCATTACGAAGATGAAACAGTTTATCTTCAAGCAGTGATACCATTCGATCGGTTTTAGTAACTTCTGGGATTAGCTGTTGTAATATTTTTTCAGCAGCTTTTTGAATCAACGTGACTGACTCAACTCCAGATGTCCTTTTCAAATCAGAACTGTAAATGTTGAAAACGTTTAGCTATTCGTATTTGGTACAAAAAATACAGAAATAAGATTTGTATCCATTATTACCTTATTGAATCATACACTTGTTGAAAAGCATCAGATTTACATGAAGATAGGTGAAGAACTGGTTTATAATCTGAACCATCAGGTCTGGATGCATCAGCTCCCAAGTTATTTATTCTAAGTGACACTGGTACTAATTTATCACTAGAAACAATAAATATCAGTGGTTATTCTAATGAGATGGTCGGTTGAAAAATTTGAATAATGAATAGAGAATAATACTCTTTTATCCGCTGGAAAAGTTGCTTGAATTTATGTGTGCCATTATTAGTAGACAAAGAAGTAGTCAAGTTGCAGAATATGAAATTTTCTTCCGACACTAATTTACTCGTTTCATTATTGGTAAAAAATTTCGATAAATAATAATGTAAGGCTTTATCCCTTGTTGATGAAACTATACGGAAATTCTCTTGGTAACGATACCACCCAACAACCTTGTCTACATTGTCCTTCAAGAAAAATCTCAATTTTTCTTGATTTACACGACCAATAGTGTCGAAAAATGGTGTCCCTATTGGATGGGACAGCACATTTTTTATATCTGAAATACATGTTAACTGTTAGGACAAGCACTCAACAATGACCAATTACTATTTTCAAAAATAAACTGTAATGTGTTGCATGCATTTTAAAAAGACAGTTAATTCAAGATATTTGACAATTCGTACGTACTTATGTGTTGCCTTGTTGTTTCCACATCTCTGTCAGAGTCTGTGACTTGTTTTGAAACATAAACAACAACTTCGCCGAGGAGAAAGCCAATCTTAAACGTAAAATGATCATTTAAAAATCAAGAAAAACACTTTTTCAAGTATAAAAAAGCCATGCATAGCTATGACACTCGTGTAAACAAATAAAAAAACCCCGCGTAAGCTAGCAAACGGGGCTAAATCTAACCTCCAAAACAAAACAATGCTTGCGTTCATCTCTTAAACGCAGGGCAAAGTTTTAAGGGAAAAAAAAAAACTAATTGAAGCCAAAGACGAATTGATCAATTTTGTTAAGTACAAACCTGGTCGTGAATCTTAGTGTTTTCATACAGTAACATGGAAAACGCAGGCCCCGAAATAGTAACAATCAGATCTTCGGTGGTCATGTTTACCATATAAGTCCAGGAACAATCATAGGCACGACACTACTACTTTTTAATTGTTTCTGTAGCACGATGATATGCCCTATTAAACCATGTTCCAACAGTCCTACGCATGCTCGCGTGCAACTGCAGTTGAGACTGTTTTTGAAGTATTAACTAAGTACTTATTTGCGTGTAAATAATAAATAAAATAGAAATTTTTTTTCTTCAGCCGCGCGCGCTCATATACAGCTGAGAGGAAAACACAACAAACAGGCACATGATGTATAATAAAGGTGCTTTCCGCAATTTCCAATGTTTTTTACTCGTACAGTTTGAGCCCCTGCACCCCTACCATTGCCAGTCTTGCCAACAAATCCTTAATATTTAAATGCAGTGATCATCAATAAATTACGTATAAACACTAAATAAGTATACGTGAAGTGGAATAAACGAAACTTTATTGATTGTTACAACTTATACTGGGAAAGTGGGTATTGCGTGCTTTTTTCGGAAAATAGTTACCAAGAAGATAAATTGACGTTTTTTTTCTTTTTTTTTTTTTTTTTTTCAACAATTTACATCTGCAGCAACGATACTCGCAAACTCATGTATTTTATACTACCGATGATTTCAGGTATCATGAACTTTGTAAATTATTCACAGTGCAAACATTACGCAAAATTAAGGAACCAAACAACTCGGCTCGCATAAAGAGACATATTAAACCAAAAAATCTCTCGGCTGTCGTACATCTAGTTTTATAAAGTTACCAACAATGAAATGAGGGCTGCAAGCTTCGAGATTTTCATATTGAAATAAAACATCTTTCAAATTACTTGACGTAAGGGTGGTGGCGATGGAAAAACTCAAGTGGTTGGTATTGTTAATCTTGTATACTTTCCAACTACATTTGAGTATAATATTGTTCACGAAATCTGAATAAGATAGCGTGGATAAAGATTTTTTTTTTTTTATGGACACAAGGAATAGAGAGAGAGACACCAAAAAGCCTCACAACGGTACTAACTGTGTGATCGTAGCTCTATAAAATTTTTTCAAGTATTACATCAGAAGCACGTGTGAAGTAAGCGCATGGCGAATTAAAATCACCGGCCCATGTAATCATGTTGTTCGAAGAAAATATTAATATTAACTGCAAATTAATTTAAGATTTTTTTCGTTGACTGCTAATAACACAACTTCATAATCCCTCTGTGGAGTGGCGGAGATCAATTGTTTTTCCAAGCTACCTTTGAATGAAATGAAAAATTTCTTCGAAAAAATATTTCTCAACCGCATTCTACTTGCGCGTATTTATTATTTTGCACTCACAGTCCAGCTGCATCTATATACGTGTACCATTTATGTACCTACTCCCTTTGCCTATACGAGGCTTGCACGTACCTATTACGTATACTTAGTCCTTGAAACCTTGAGAAAATCTTCCCTGATTAAGGATATGAACGTTCCCTCAGGTATATAAGTTTGCGCTTTGGGATGCAAAGGGACGAAAGAGAAAGTATTTCTGCACTTCCGTCAGTTCCGTATTGGCTTTGGCATCGCTAGAGAAATTGTTTTGAATTCCTCGTGCACACAATAACGCTGTTTAGTCGCAGTTATATCAAATGCATAGTTTTAAAAAAAAGCCAGTATATTCACTTGCCGATTTTCACTTGGGTGATGAAAAAATAGTTACAACTATAATATGCTGAACAAAAATGTTTGCCATTGTATTGTTATACAGTGCGAAGTGCGACATTCATCCTTTGTGGGGCAAAAGTTTGTAGGTACTCTGCGCACACAATTATACTTCATTCGCCTCGTTCTCAAGAATCTCAAGATTACTTGTAGTTACTCTTTTACCCACCAGAGGTCACAACGTTAAGAGTCTATTTTTTCTTTTTTTTTTTCTGGAGGTGGAGTGCCAAGGTTCCCGTTGTCCCGCAAGTGTGTCCAACACTGGCGATTTTCAGCCTTGCGTGGCGATTTTTTTTCGTTAAGTGGCTATGGCGATTTTTTTGGTTGTAACATAAGCTAGGGTGGCGATTTTTTGGCTGCATTTCTGAATTCTGACGAGCGTGGCCAAATAGTTCCATGTACCTATATATGTAAATGTACGTTTGGGTGCGTTTTTTTTCTTTTAAGTACCGTACACGGAAGGATCGCACTTGAAGTCGATTGTTGATCTTGAATATCGAAAAGTGATCTGTTATGGTTTCAGTATATGATCCCCCGACAACTTACCAGCAACTTTATCGTGTCTTAAGATATCGTATGTCATATTCAAGTTGCCGACAAATTGTTGGAGAGCAATACTGAAACACACTCTTATTGGTTGGTTACGGACTTTACAAAAATTGATATCCGCCAAGTACGATCCTTTCCGAACCTTAGAAAATACATATTCTCTAAGTTTTGAACGTAACACATATATGGTAGCCGTCGAAGAAAAAAACACTGTTGGCCCTGATAAGGCCTAGTTCACTAACTTTGTCAGCTTTCTCACACAGGAAGAAGATACTTTCTCGTGAATATGTGTAAGATTGCCAAATTAAAAGCATCCAACTAATCAGAAGACTCCTTTCGCTCTATATTGGTTCTCTGATAAGTCGAAACTTTAAGTGTATTTCAAATCGCAGAATTGATTTTGATACGTTACAAAATTCTAATAATGGGCGCCCGACTTCGGCGAATTGAAACTCATCAAAATCAATAAATCTTTCGAGCGCCTCGGTTGCCCGTATTTTGAAATACGCTTCACAAATCATCCTCTCTCTGAGTGAGAAGATTGACAAAGTTAATAAATTAAGCCCTTTTCATATTGTACCGTCTTTTGCGTTTTGTTCGGTGGGTGAAAACGTCGTTTTGGGTTGATTGACTTATAAATGTAAGTGATAAATTACGTAAATAGTTTAATTATTATTGATAACATTAAAATCTTTTAGATGTATTTACTTTAATTTGAGAAGCAAATTATACAAGTTGCAGTGAGGTTAAGGCGCGCAATGGCAAGGATACCAGGGCCCTACTCGAGGACACCAAACCGGATGGGCTGCTATTTGGAGCCAAACTCGGGGAGAAGGTTAGAGACGCGCAGAACATGGAAAGGGTTTGCCAAGGCTCTCATGAAGCCGGCGGCCCAAGCCCCCCCGTCATCCTCTCGCAGCGCGTGACCATTTAAACTAGCCTGCAGGGAAAGCGTTTCGCCCCACCTGCAGGTCGTCAACAGGGCCCGTATCAGAGCAGGTTCAGGTCACGCCTGAACTTCCAAGTCACCCCACGGAATCAGCCATTCAACCAGAGGGCGCAGTACCAGGGCCGTGGCAGGGGATCCAACCACAATCAACCGAAATAAACAAAGTACGTAAGCCAGCGGGCCGTTTAAGGGAATTTAGGGCTAAATGGGAAGAGATCTCGTCTGATTGTTTTATTCTGGAGTGTATTTCGGGGGTAAAGATTCGGTTAAATAGGCCGATAGAACGGGGTGCCCCGCCGGTCCCTGAATTTTCTTTGGTCAAGGAGGAGCAACAGGTACACAAAGCCATCGCCTCCTTGATTGACAAGGGTGCCATTGAGTCGTGTTCTAGCTGGGAGGGACACTACATCTCTAGCTATTTCTTGGTTCCCAATGCAGACGGGTCTTTTCGTTTCGTGCTTAACCTCGAGAAATTTAATAAATTTATTGTGTGTCCCCACTTTAAGTTACAGGATATTCGCACAGCCTGCGCCCTAGTGTCTAAGGACTCTTTTATGTGCCAAATCGACCTAGAGGATGCTTACTTCGCAGTGGCCGTGCACGAACAAAGCCGGAGGTATTTAAGTTTCATTTGGAAAAGGCAACTTTATCGTTTTACGTGTCTACCGTTTGGTCTGAGCAATAGCTTCATATACATTTACAAAGCTTTTAAAGCCCGCGATAAGCCGGTTGAGGGAAAGAGGGCTTATATATCAGTTCTCTATTTGGACGATTTCCTCTGTATCGCCGCGGACGCGGACGGGTGCGCGGAGAACACAAAGACCACGGTTTCACTTTTGGTGGATTTGGGTTTCCTGATCCATTGGAAAAAGTTCCGCCTTGTCCCGTCTACGACACGCACTTTTTTGGGTATGACGATTGATTCAGTCCAGTACAAGCTGGAGTTGCCTGGGGAAAAGAGGAAGAAACTAGTTAATTAATCTAGTAAAAGCGTTGCTTAGGAAGGAGGCGTGTAAGATCATAGAGCTCGCCAAGGTACTAGGAAACTTGATTGCACCGGCCGTCGAGTTTGGCTTCGTGTAGTCCTTGGACTTTGCCAGAACGTTGTTTACGGACTCCTCGAATAGCGGGTAGGGCGCGACCGACGGCGTGCGTGAGGTGTATGGCCACTGGGACGCGGACCAAGATCTATGGCATATTAATTTAAAAGAGCTTTTCGCGGTTAAGCTGGCTCTAGAGTGCCTCGCCGATGACTTGTCCGACTGTCAAGTCTTATTAAGGGTCGACAACACAACGGCTATAGCTTACATAAACAAGATGGGTGGCGTGCGATATCCTCACTATAACAATCTTTCTAGAGAAATCTGGGATTGGGCAGAAGAGAGAAGAGTGTTCCTATTAGCGTCTTATATTCCCTCCGCTGAGAATTGCGCAGCGGACAGGCTTTCTAGGATAGTGAATGAGGACACAGAGTGGGAGTTGCATATTGATGCGTGGACTGCTCTCGTGGACCTCTTTGCCAACTCAGAGAATGACAAGTGCTAAACATTCTTCTCTTGGAAACCCAATCCGGGAGCCCTCCGGATAGACCCCTTTACGCTGGATTGGGGGAGTCTCAATTTTTACTGCTTCCCTCCGTTTAGCCTGATTACTAAAATACTTGGTAAGATCAAACGGGAGAGGGCTACGGGAATTATGGTGGTACCTTTCTGGCCAAGCCAGCCACGGTTCCCTCTCTTCCTGGAATTGCTCATCTCCGAGCAGATTGGTCTGGGACCAAATCTTAACCTACTTTTGTCCCCTTTTAGGAACAAACATCACCCGCAGGCCAGCCGGCTACGTTTGATTGCAGGCAGAGTGTCAGAGAAGCATTCCTAAGAAAGGGAGCACCCAGGGAGGCACTCGAAGTGCTGATGGCATCGCTGGCCCCGGCCACCATGAAGCAATATGCTTCGTCCCTGAAAAAATGGCTTAATTTCTGCGCCCCAGAGAGGCTTAGCCTATTAAGGTTCTTATCAG